GTTACTATTAATGGAAAAATGGAGCCTTTGATTTTCGTACAGATAGGTAAATTGGCTCTCATGATGAACATTGACACTATTCATTTAATAAGTGACAGGATTTTTCTTTGTGGTCTTACCCTTCTCTATACATCTGATTTTCTTTTGTCACTTAGACTTGTGCCAGACTGATTTGGTAGCATCTGCTGTGTACTAGTATGGTGAGATGAGCAGTGAGTTATCAGGTTTTGCACTGACAGATTTTTCTTTTTTTTTTTTTTAATCACGAGAAACTGGATACTTTACAGAAAAGAGGTAAATCTTGGAATAAAGAGAAAAAAAAACCTCAAAGCTTCTCCTTGCTCCATGTCTTTCCATTTATTTCTCTAGCCACCAAGCAGTGCTTTTTGGACAGATTTCCATGCAGTGACCTTGGCATCCATGTCCTGCCATGACCTCACCACACTGTCATCACACCATGGTCTCAAAATGTAAAACATCTTTCTATAGGAAATTTGACACTATCAGTATTACAGTAACTGCAGTAAACTAAACTGCAGAAGAATATGTTTCATGTCAGTGGAAGCAGAAAAGCTAGTTGATGAACTGGATTCCTTTATAGATGAATCTTCTATGGATCAGCGGGTTTATTCAGAGTTACTTAAAAAGCAGTTAACATTCCATTAGCAACAAACTGTGATCTGTGTCAGCAGTAAAGCACTGTTCAGTCATTTATTTTAGAATGAGCAGTCACTGCAGGGAGAAATAAAATTATTAAACCTCTTACAAGCAAATAAATAGTAAGGCAAAGCCAGGGATTTTCTTTCTTATTTTAAAGATTAAGCCTTCTCCTAGGAATATTTCTTAATACAGAGTGATTTTTTTTCCCTGATGTTTGCTATATTCAGGATGAGTCAGAAGTTTCCATTTCTTCTGATAGTTTGGGTTAGTGATCGAAGAGAAAAGTGCATGCTCAAATTTCACTGTTGCCATGTTATTTTATTCAAGTAGGAACATTGTTGGTTCAGCATTATGTCTGCTGCTGACCTGGCCTCAGTCCCAAAGAGCTGTCTTAAAATAATACTTTTCCTTGCAGCTAGCATTAGAAATGTATATGGCCCCATGCCCCGATGAGCTCTTTACCTGATCATGATTACTTTCCGCGCTTAAAGCAGTCTTCATCTCTCAATTCTCCTGACTCAGGCAAAATCTGCACTGACACAGGACTTAATGTCAGGCTCTTACTATTCTTGAAGAGAAAGTCTGATACTCTAAAACCTTTTTATAACTAGTGAGATTAGGTATAAAATAGTCTTGTCTTAGAGTGTCATTGATACCATGGCTAGGCAGACATGAGTAAAACAAGCAATCTTGAAATCTGAGATATGTGGCAGCAAAACCCACTCCAAGCTGAGCTGCTAATGGCAGGCTTTTAAAAACATTTTCATGTTATACTTGTGTCATTCTCCTATGTGGTATTGTGCCAAATAAACCTCAGTCAAATACCAAACAATAAGAAGTATGATTGCTTTTGTATTATTTTGAAGCTAGTGCTCTGACTATACACTTTTGCAACCCCCTAGGGGAGACTGTCCCCACTGCTAGACATGCCACATAAAACCTGGAGCTTAATAGTTGCAAAAGCTGCACAGTATTTTAGTAATAAATTTAAATGTAGACCCCATTCTCAAAGTAACCTGTTCTACACTACACAATAGTGTTGCTTTATAAGGTTTTAATACTTTTTAAAATTACTCTGAAAGATGAATCATTATAGAGAGACATAAAGAGACAAGGGAGGAAGAAATAGAAACAAACAGGTGGTTACTACACTGGTTATCCAATTAGCATTTCTTTTAAGCCAGTAACAAGTAGATGCACAGCTGACTTGTGTGTCATGTAAGACTATGATTAAAACATTGGCCTTAAGTGTCATACTTTTATTTGTGATTTTGATATTTATATATATCAAAATATACAAGTGGAGTCAGTGCAATTTTAGATTTCTAATCAAGGTTAGCAATTAGAACTTAAGAGCTATTATTTGCAGTAATAACCGATATTCACCCATTTTCCTGAGAGTCTGCTGTGCTTGCATAGATTAATGTGAAGGGAGGTATTCCTTTTTTCATCCTTTTCAGAAGAAAAGGATCCTGAAGGGTACTTTAATGTGGAAAAACAAAGGTTTTTTTTTTCTCTTGCAGTTTCTGCTAGTCAGGTGTGGCATAAGGGCATAGAAAATATGTCTTCTTCAAAAGCCATAACTTCGAGGCTGTGTTCACTCTCTTTCATTTCCTTGTAAGAAGATTATGATGAAAAACAGTAATTCAGCCTGAATTCTAAGATAAATCACTTGGACTGCTTTTTTTAGACCTGAGCCCTAACTGCAACAATTGTGTTTAGACCTAACTCCAATGCTTAAACTCCTCTGCAGATTACATTTTTAAGGTGCTGGGTGATGGCGAGCAGCTTGCCCAGCTGTTCTGAAGCTCAGATTTATTGGTGGGTCCAAAAGCTTTGCAGTGAATTCTCCAAGTTTAAATAACAAAAGCAGCATTTTATAATATTTTCTCATATCAATTCTTTCCTTCCTTGAGTTGAAACTCCAAGAATTCCAATATGGCTCAGTAATTCTAGTAAAAAGGAGGAAGCAATTAATGAATAAAACTGGCAATTCTTGAAATCTTCCAGTGTGGCTGATTAGAAACTGCATTTTAAGAGATATACTTAGAATTAGCCCTTGCGTTTTAAAGAATACCGTCCCACCACTGGTGGAAGTGCAAAGCATCAAGCATGGAAGTAAAAAGGAATCTACTTTTAACAGACAGTTTATATAGTCAGTATAATCCATAAATGCATGCAGATAGTATGTAAAACATTGTGGATGTTGCAACCACACAGATACAATGGTCTTCATTTAAATCACCTTTGCAAGTATGTTCTTAATAGAGGAAATATTTTTAGTTCTGTTTAAAGTCTGTAAGAAATAAGAAGAATGAAACACGTTTTTAATATTAGGTACAAATTCAAATGATGATGGCATATCTTGCATGAGTGACCTTGTACACATTGAAAAAAACCCTGTAATATGGTCCAGAAAGTACACATTATGCTTCCCTTTTAAAATAGATACTAGAATTAGACTGTACCTTTGAAAAAAACCCTCTGATATTATCTTATTGCATAATACTTGCCTATGTTTTAATCTATGACAGAATTTGAAAATCTACTACACATAGCAGCAAGTGTCGGCAAGTCAATTGTGAAATAAAATTTCTGGAGTGAGCATCATTTAATTAAGTGATTCACCTATATTCCACCTGCTAACCCATCTGTGGTAGAATTACAAAGTTTTGAGCATCTTGTAAACATTTGCATTTTAAATAGCAAAGCAAATTTTTAAAAAAGCGAAACAAGGAGAACAAAGCTTTTACAAAGAAAAGTTGTCACTGAACTATTTCCTGAACACCAATATTCAGTTGTGAAACCATTGCATATTTCTGATCCATAAATTCTGATTCATAAGTCAGAGAAGCACTTGCTTCCTTTATATGTGCAGATAGAGCCTTCCTATGAAATTTAGCTGTATTTGTGGTCCCAGTAGCATTTAAGATAAATATTGCAATAGCTTCTTAACGTCTATTAGATATATACCAGATATCACTATTGACAATACCTTTCCTGTGTTGTGTACTGAATTTTGATTTTATTCTTGCTTCAGATTACCTGGTTTCTGGCCAAAATGGGGCACCTTGCATTTAAAAGGAGATATATAACAGGGCCATTGCTATTTTATATGTTCCAAACATTTTCTGCAATAGCTTCTCTAAAATGTGTGGCATAAACAAAATCCTCAAGCACATTGTGGTAAAATGATTTTATCGGTGCTCATTTACACTGACCTACACAGGTTGTTCTCATGCTCCCCATTCCTGAGCAATGATGCTCATTCTGTATTTGTGCCAAGAAAGCACTTAATCTGTGCCAAGCCATTTTTTTTTTAAAGTACATTCCACCATCAAAATAAAGGCACAAATACAATTTAAGTGCTATTAGTAAAATCAGGGAAAAAAATCTCAATGAAGAAAGAAGGCAGGAGTTACCCATCCAGTGATCTTACAAAGCACATCTGCATGGATCTGATTTCATAAAGAGCAAAGAAAGCCTGAATACCATCTAAAGTCAACTGTGGATGGGAAGAATGGAAATGGAAGCACAATATGAAGGCATCTCTGGTTTGTTTATTTTAGGAGATAACCCCCTAAAATCTAGCTCCATTCCTCACTGACTTTTCATAGCCTTCTATATTTCAATATTCTAAAGCACTCTCTAAAATTTAATTAACACAAAAACACTGAGGGAGGACATTTTATTTTCATTCTATGTTATATAATTGTCTAGGTTTTGAAGTGTTATGGCATGAATAAATCAGGATTCTTATTTTAGACAAAGCAAAGATGTTATAATTAATGAAATTTGTGAAAGTAAGAGAATCTGAAAGGCATTCAAGCTCTGGACATATGACATGTAAACATGTTTCACCTTAGCAAAACAGTGCAAACTTTGGGAAAGCATTTTATCATGAAAGAGATCAGGTATTGGTTTTCTTGGTTGGTTTGCATGGGTGTAATATTTTGAACATCACACAGAATGTTCATTAAGGCTTCCTATTAAAGCCTTACCAAACTAATATCCCTTAGAAAGCAAGGCATTAGTTTGATTTCCCCAGTTTTCAAGTATATTTTTTCAACTCCAACTTTTTTCTCATTAGAACTTGCTGACATTTGTATGATATACATAAACTGTTAGGTAAGCATCTAAAATTCCTCATAGAAAAATAAGGTACTGCTAGAGCTCAGGGACTCTGAATCTTCCATATAAAGCATACAATCAATGCATATCATATTTGCTTTAAAAAAAATCAAAAAACATATCCTCTTTTAGCTACAGAATTTATTTGATAAAGGTGTCAACTTCACACCCCCTCCCACAAAAAAAAAAAACCCTGATCATAACTTTCTCTATTTTGTTCTTAGAACCAAAGGTGCCCCCTTGGTTGGTGAGGATACTCCAGCGGTAGTAAGTTTCAGATTTTCACGTAAAGAATTGCGCTGTCGAACTGTGGCTGATCTTATGTAACTGCCAGTAGAAACAACTTTTGCTGGCCTTATAGGTGCTATGGTCTGCGGAGGCAGTCCATTGATTTCATATGTCCACTGCATTGACTGTGTCTGCAAATAATGAACAGAGACATAGAAATAAAATACAATCTGTGATCAAACACCTTGAAACTTTTACATAGTGATTTATCATGCTACATTGATTTCAAAAGATATTTATTCTTTTCCATGTAAGGTACTGGAATAACACAGAATGAGAATTGCACTCCCGTGACATGGAGACCAGAAATCACACTTAATGTTATGAATTCAGGACTAGGCATAACAAAGATGAGGAACTTAGCTTCCTAGCTCATCTCAAATTCCTTTTTTTTATTTAGTAAACTCCATAGCTCTGTATATTTGTCCTGGTTTTAGCTGGGACCAGGATTAGCTCTTCTTTTAGCAGCTAGAAGAGCTCCGTGTTTTGGTTTTACTCAGAGGCTCACTCTGAGAAGAACTCTGATAGTGCACTGATGTTTATAGTTGGAACTGAGGTCTCAAGGACTTTTCAGTCTGCCAGGTTCTTGCCAGTGTGCAGGAGCACAACAGGATAAGGGGGGAGCATAGCTGGGACAAGGGGTCCACGACTCTCCTTACGATTTGTACCTGAACTTAAGATTGAGGGCCAAATTGGCCAATTAGTATTCCATATCATGCAGCGTCATGCCCAATATAAAAGCAAGGGTCAGCTAGAAAGAAGGGCTTTTGCCCTTCCGGGACTCTCACTTTCGGGTGCTCAGAGTGTTTTCTCTCTCTCACTCTCTGTCTCGGGGCCTCCCGTTCATCTGGGATTGCAGTATCGAGTTTTGCAGTTTCGGGACGAGATGGGCCTCGGTCAAGGGGTGGTGAGCAATTACACCGTACATCACTCGTTTGCATATGTTTATCCTTGTACATATCTGTATATATATATATTGGTAGCGGTAGTAGTAAATTGTTCTTATCTCAACCTTCGAGTCTCTTTTCTTTTTCCTCTTTGATTCTCTTCCCTCATCCCTGAGGTGTGGGAGAGTGAGAGGGGACTGTGTAGGGTATAGTTGCCGGAGCAGCCTAACCCACCACAATATTGTTCAAAGGTAATTATTCCATAGCACAATATAAATGCCGCAGGTTTATACTATAGGATTTAATTGTAGATCTGGTATTGGTCACAATAGCATTATCAAATGGTGGATTTTTTCAATTAAAACAATGAATAAAACTAAGAGAGAAGGACTTTGAGTATGCACACGAGAATTGCAGCTTCATGTTGAAATCTCTCATTTGAAGAATATTTATATGAATTGAAAATGACACTCTTCATTTGCTTTCTGCTTATAACTTGTCTCTAGGAATGGAGCATATGTTTCTATGTCATGTCTTGTAATGCCTGAGTACTTGATTCTTACTGAGTACGTGATTCTTATTCTTACTACACATCCCATCTATTCCTACTTAAGGGGTATTATTTCTATGCGCATGAAGGCTATACTGCTGTCTATCTATCTCCCATGTTTCATTTGTATCTTGAAGCAGAATTTTGGTTGCTAAAAACCCATGTGTAACTATTGCAGATCTTTCAGACATTTTTCTTTCAAAAAGTATCACTTTAATTCTTGAAAGCAGGTCTTTACTCCAAGTCTTTAGCATTTTCCTGTCATTACATCTAAGAAAAGGTCTATTCATGGGTCTTCGGTTTTCAATTTTCCTTTTCCTTAAAAAAAACCCACAAGCAAACAAGAGAAAAATTACAAAACCCAAAGATTTCAAATGATGTGTCATTATGTCCAGCTTTGTACTATGCAAAAGAAAGAGAAAGCACTGCATGTCTACCTTAGGCAAGCAATTGTCATCTATTTCTTCACACTCAGTGACTGAAAAGCCCAGGTTTTATGTTTGTGGCTTTTTTTGCTTCCAAGGCAAAACTTGTAGGGAACACAGAATAGAATAAAAATAGGGTATGATGTAGGTCTATTAAAATACATTCACACAAGTGAAAAATTCTTTATACAGAATACAGTACATGTACACAGTACACAGAAGACACCAAACTATGAATTTGCAGCCTCAAAGCAGTGGAGTCACGTTAATTGACTGATATTTCCAAATTCTCAAGATCTACCTTTCCACATTTGGCACAGCCTTGCAATCACACAGCCACACTGCCTGTGGTTCTAGTGCAGGTTTGTTGGTGCTAGGTTTTTGCATCATGCTGCGTTGACCTACAGAGACATGGCTTGTAGGATCACCATTCTCTCCTGCTCCAATTCATAAAGATTTAACATTCCAACAACAGTTGTGATATACATAATTCATCTCCTGTTTAGAACTAACTTAATCCTTAAAACAATCATTTGTAGATATAACCATTACACCTAACATCGTTGTCATTTTTCATCCAAGGAAACCAAAGGTCAGAAAGGCTGTGTATACTCTCAAATCAATCTGGAAATCAGTGCCACTGTCAACCTCAAAGCTCAGGAGTTTTTCCCTCAAGCACTTAGTTAACAGTCTGACTTCCAACATGACTGGCTTTGTGGCCCATTTGCTCATTCCAGTTTGAGAGCTCTGCTTCTGCTTTGCTGCTGGGCATGTCCATACACCGAGCAGATTAGGCCTACAGAGAGGAGCAACAGCCCCATCCACATCACAAGAAATTTTCACAATAGCATGAATGCCATCAACTACGTCCAGAGCATAGTGTGTATATTTGTCTAGTTATTTATTGCATTCTGTCAATTAATTATGGACTAGGTAAAGCACTACGAAAGCCATAGGCAAGAGCAGTCAACCTTTTCCATCTCAAACTTCCTCTGCAGTCATCCCCTACTTATAACAACATGCAGAAGAGAATAAAAAGGATGTTAAAGTGGCTCTCTGACTTTATTAAGTTTTGTTAACTATTGATTTTATATTTGTCACTGAAAGAGTTTGAATTTACGTTTACTGTTGTTATCTTTCATATGCTCCTTCCTATTGTTCTAATTCTTACCCTGTCACTGCTAAAATATATTTAAGGGATATCATTGAAAGCAGTTTTGCATTCATGTTGCAGCTATTCAATGGGAAGAAGTTCCATTAAACTGTAAACCCTTTGGCAGAGGCTTTGTTCTCTACTTTGTACTTACACAGCATTTACACTATTTGACATATAGGCTGCATACACTTACAGCTCTTAAATGTCATCACCATATGAATCTCTAATTGTGGTGCTTCTTGTTAGACAGCTAGTTTTAACCAGTATTTTGGTAACTGAATATATATTTTTCTGTGCTAATATTGAAAGAATAGGTGACTTTTTTTGCTGTGTATTTTTAAACTTTTTTCAAAACCTCTACTTTAAAATTGGCAGTACTGATTTTACATAGTGTCTTCTGAATGAATTGCTTTATTCAAATAAGATTAGTAAGCCTAAGATCTTTATAGATATTTCACCATGCATGCATAATTTTTTAAACTTTCATTACTATTCTGCTAAAATCAAAATCTAATTTAAATTGAATATTATTCCTGTGTAAACAGGCAGATTAACTCATCTTAATTCTCAAATGTATTTAATATTGTGAAATGATCTAGTAACTCCACTGCCTGCAAAGATAAAACCCAGCAAAAGCAGGTGTGTCATGGACCAACTTCAGTATCTTACATCCAAAGATAAAGTTGTCATTTTAAAAAAAGTAAATCGCTCTCCAAAGCCAGCTAGTTGTTTTATTAATTTCAGTACAAGATGAAATTCTTTATCTTTCTTTAGTATGCCAGATGAACAATTTAGTTTAAAGAAAATTTAACCTCAGGGTCATATTCACTGTGTGTAAGTCTCACAGAGCACTTCAAGGTCAAAGAAAAGATCTGATAGGTCTTTCAGCCAACGATTTAAACTGAGTACCAAGTTATTAAAAAATCATTTACATCCATGAAATCCACACATATTGCAACTTTACTGTCTATAACAATCCTAATTTTTCGAAGTGGGATTTAAACAAAAGTGATGGGCTATGCCACCTCTCGAATTCATTTATCATCAGCATCAAATAATTGATATAGCTTCTGGGTAGTAATAACCTTTTGCTAACTTTCTGTTTGCTGTACAATTATTCTAGATTGTATGTTCTGTGAAAAAAAGTCTGTGGCTTGACTTGGTGAAAAAAGCCAAACAAAATTCAATTGCTGCTGTAGCCTGTGTCAGGTGTGGTTCCGTGGCAGGGCCTGATGGAAACTCATTGGGTTCAATGAAGAAAATGTTGTGGACATTAAGACATAAACCCTTTAGATAAGATCCATCAAAGTAGAAGGCAAAAAGAAAAAAAGAAGAGCAACAGCAACAAAAAAAGCCCACCCTAACTGATCATCTTGAACTATGGTAGTCCATCTATTGTAAATCGTGTGCTATCATGTAAGACAGTTGGAGACAGTCATTGTGAAAAAATAGTGCATTTATGTGCTGATTTACTGAAAGAATGACTCTTGGTTTAGTTCAGCATTTTCTGCTAAAGTGTTACACAAATGGAAAATAGTTACTGTAATTGTCAACATAATTTGGGTTATGCTTTGTTTAGCACTAGAACCACCGAGAATTCAGCAATTTTCAAGACAAACTAATATTGAGCAATTTTCAGAAAACCTTAGACATCCACAAATGTCTGTTTTAGTAGAACGTTTAATTTCCAAGGTCAAAGTATTAGGTTTTCAAATGCTGCTGAAGCCATAAGTATTTCCTTCAAGATATAGGTTTACAGCTTAACTACAACAACTACTCCAACCAGTATGAAAGCTGCAACAAGAACAAGTATACCAAGTTCAGAATCGTGCAACTCGAAGCTGCTGCTTTGGGTTTCCAGGTCAGACATGTTTCAGCAAAGGAAAAGACAGATCACATTTCAGACTTTTCTGGAGTGGTAGAGAGTGGAGAGAGAGAGACTTCGAAAGGTCATCTATATATGACCATATAATTGTGATGGAATAGTTGACGTACAAGCTGTGTTTACTTGCCTAAGAAGTGGGTCAAAATTTCCCAAATCAGAGGAACTCTTCCTCTTCCTATGCTTAAGGCAGTGCAGTATATTATATCAAATTTGTAACAATTCTAATAC